TCTCTCTCTCTCTCTCTCTCTCTCTCTCTCTCTCTCTCTCCCCCACATGTCTTCCATAGGCCTGGTCACGCTATCTGTCCCTCCCCTCTCCCTTCCAATAAAACTCTACTCTGATAATGGGTTTTGTCATGCCTTGTGACCTAAAAGTGCCACATTAAAACCAGCAGTGAGGATTTTCTCTCATTGCATAGAGTGTCTCTTCAGTCTGTTGACTGCATTCTCTTCTGGGCAGGAATCATCTTACCTTCACAAAACTCCCCTTGTCTGCTTTTGCTTTTTGTTGTTGCCTCTGCTTTATTGAGTCAAAGTAAAAAAAAAAATAAATCAAAATTAAAAACTCTGCTCCCAGAGCTGACAGACTTGAACTGCTCTCAGCCATGGCCAGAGAAGCTTCATTTTACATTGGAAGGAAGTCAGTCTTCTCACCCCGAGGGAGTCCCTGCAACATCCCATTCCCACCCCACTCCCCATCACATCTTCCCCTGGGGCTCAAAGTCAGAGTCCAAGACTGTACATTTCACAGTTCTCTTATCAGCTCAGCTAACTAACACTTCTCTCTTTGTGCTATTAATTCTGGACTATGAACTCCAAAGCGGTTAATGAGTTGGCGATAAGAATGGTATCTGGCAAAGAAGGTGCAGAAGCCAAAAGGCCACACTTACAGCAGAGTCTGGGGCAGGATTACCTCAGTTGTTCTTCCCTCTGATGACACTGGCCTGGAGCCTGCAGAACAGGTCAAGAGGCACAGTGAACTGCCTCTGTCACTTCAGGAGGAAAACTCAGTTATTCAATGTCACTCATCAATGGAAAATAGAGCATGCCCTCCCCACACCCCAATGGATGGAAATCTCATCTCTGTGCGGACTTCCTGCTCCCGGGGCAAGGTCTCAGCACAATCTCCATGGTAACAGCTATTCAGATATGTGCTAACCTGTGCTCATTGTGGGGACGCTGGCAGATCCTGCTGCAGGGACACCCTTCTAGGGTCAAAGAAGAGTTATGATACATAACTCAAAGAAGGTCATGATACATAACCTTCAAAGAGCTTGGGGTGATGTCAGGGGTTCCCGCTCCTTGAAGGGTATCTCACACACATTTGTCATGAGATTGGTTCCACGAGCCCCCTTAAGAGGATTTCATTCTCTCCTCATTCTTGGAACAGAAACAATATTCTGTGGCATGTCCCAGTTAAAAACACTTCTGGGGTGGAGGGTGGGCAGAATGTCCCTTCTCCTGTCAGCCTTCCACCTGGAAACAGTCCTTGGAGGAGTCCACTGCCTGTTCTCCAGGCTACTGGCAAAGTACTCTCCTCTCTCACAGCTTGGGCTCCCCAGAGCTCTCTTCTCAGTGAGGACCTCACCACTGCTCCACTGTGTTTATTTGTACATTTCCCCATCTTGGGAAGAACCTGTCTCAGTCACTTCGCAGATGGACCTCACAGCTCTTCATGGTTGATGGGCTCTTCTTCCTTGACTGTGTCAGTTTGTTCAGCAAAAGTCCTGTTAAGTTGCACTTCCCTAATTCCTCACTTGCCTGCGCTGTGTCTGGAGCACGCCCTGACTCTCTAGGCCATGCAGGGAGCACATTACAGAGCCTCCTTTGAATGAAGTCATCTGCCATCTCCAGCAGAGCTGAATAATCCTTTTCCTTTAACACCTACCCACAGCCTACCTCTCAGCTCCCCAGCTGTAAAGTGCAGATAAGACCTGACCCTGCTCTTAGGTCAGTGTGAGGATCACACCTCCTGAGGACAGCTCACAGTTTTATCACTGGCTGCCTCCTTATCTCCTCTGAGAGACCAGAGGGTGTGCTTCATGTACAATATTTGCTTCCCAAAGGAGGTGCTGGAATGGTCCATGGGTCAGATGCAGGTTGTTCTCCAGATGAACGGTGGATGACAGGCTAGCTGCAGAGGCTCAGCTGTTCAGGGATGACAGTCCCCTCCAGACATGCTGTGGTGTCATCCTGTGACTTGAAAGCCTCTGCTGCCCGAAGTAGAGAAGGCTGTAGCCAGTGGGAGCCCCAAAGAGGCCTGTCCCGGGATAGGACCTTCTCCTGTGTTGTCCGTACTGTGAGTCTGGAGCAAACTCAACAGCAAGAGGAGACAGCTGAGCTCTGTCAGACTCACAGGTCTTCAGAGCCTGCTGAGAGCCAGAATAAAAACTGCAGATGTTAATGTTGCATATGGCTGCAACCTGGAGCTCTACCAGACGACCACCTGGAGGATAAGGTGAAAGCAGAGGAGAAAGCAGACTGAGAGAAGCCCATCACAGTCAGAGTGAACGGCAAAAACAGTATCACCCTGACCTGACCCCATCCTTTAGGCTCAGTAAGAGGACAGTAACCAGATCCTGAGGAAAATACCCACCGCATAGGGAACAGGCCCAATATAAAGGTGGGGCTTCCAGCAAGAGCAGGTACAGGCAGGTGAAGGGGGTCAGTGAAGACAGGTTTACACTGGAGTAATATCCCCACTCAACACCTGCCATCCAGACAGTCCCTGTACACCGCCAACCTGTGCTGGGTCCACAGATAAGGACTCGATGATACATAACCTTCTCAACTTCTTCCTTCTTGGTTGCATGTTGGTACTGGGTATTTCAGAGGGGCACTTGCACAGCTGGTCAGCTTCTTAGGGGAAGCACCCCTGGGTCCTGCCTGATCTCCTCCGTCCTGGCTATCATCAGTCATACACTGTGAAAGTAAGGGGCCATGGCAGGTTCTCCTACACTGGAGAGCTCATCTGCCCCATGCCCCATGGGACCTGCAGGTACATGGCACCAGACACAGCGTCACTCTCTGCCTGGGAGTCCGTGGCTGCCATCAAGCAGGATGAAACTCAGGCTCAGGCCCTAGGGCAGAGCCTCCCTACTCCTGTACTTTTCTGTAGCCCCCACCCTTGCTCTTTATTCCCTGGCTTCTGCTCTCTAATCATCTTCATCAAAGGTCCCTTCTGCTCCTTTGGTGAGAAAAGGCTGAGAAGCATTAGAGGCAGCAGAGAGGACCACCAGGCCTTTAGAGCACAGAGGAGCTCATGTGAACAGGCCCAGAGGATAGGCAGAGAACCAGAGATGGCCTCTTTGGGTCAGTTTGGCTTAGCCCTTCCTGGAATGATCTAGAATGCCTCTGAGGCATAGGGAGTTGTTTTTGGAAAGCTGCATGTCTAATTCCTGGCAGTAATGTTAGTCCTTCTTTCCTGAGAATGATGCTGAACCAGCTGGGAGGCTAGCCCCAGTGCATGGTGTTAAGAGTTCAGAGAACACCCGGTTCCTCAGGGACACACCCCATTGAGGGAAGTCAGAGCAAGATCTTAAGCAGGAACCTAGAGGCAGGAACTTAAGCAGAAGAAGATTACTTACTGACTTTCTCTCTGTGGCTTGCTCAGCTTGCTTCCTTATATCATCCATAACAAGCTGCCCAGAGGTGGTACTGTCCTCAGTTAACTGGGCCCTCCCACATCAATTATTACTCAAGAAAATGACTCCACAGACTCGCCTACAGGTCAATCTGATGGAGACAATTCTTTGTTGAAATTCTCTTTCTCCAGATATGTCTAGGTTTGTGTCAAGTTGACAAAATAACAAAAACAAAAAAACAACCAGCACATTTGGGTTAACTCTTTTTATTCGAATTATGAAAGAGCAATGAAGTGTGTGGTCTGAGTTATAAGCTGAAATAAACCCTATCCTACACAAGTTATTAGAAACCCTGACTTAGAACCAACACTTAGGCTAATGCCAAAAAGTGTTTTCCTTGGTCTAGAAATGTGTCTCAGCAGTGCCATACTTCCCTGAAAGCATGAAATCCAGGACTGTCTCCAGCATTACATACATACATGTATAGATGTGCACACATGTGCATATACATACACACAAATATTTTCTTCTAGTGGTTTTACAAATTTCTTTTCAATATGAATACCTTTTCTTCCCTTTCTTTCATTTTTTTGCCTTTCTTTATTCTTTCTTTCAGTTTTAAATTTATTTAATTACTTTTGATTTGATTTGCCTAATCACTTTGACTAGGACTTCTAGTACTATATATTAAGGAGAAGAGGGGAAATGTTAAATTAGTCATCTCTGTATATTTCCTGATAAGACAAAAGTGGATATAAGTTTTTACTTAAAGAACCAAGAAGTAATCACTAGTTTTTATTTGCTCTGTGTTTTCGAAATAGTCACCCAAACATGCCAATGGGTCCATATGCATAGGATTGTGAGATTGCCAGTTCCTGGATGATCAAAGCAAGGCTTTCAGCAGGAGCAGAATAATGGGAGCTGATGAAATGGATTTGAGGGCAGGGTTCCCATTGTTTGAAACAGTTGAAGTGGGAACAGTTGAAGTGGGAACAGGTGAGATGGAAACTTCTGGGATGCATGAGGCTTGGATTTGTACATCATTGAGGACTTTCATGTTCAGATTGCAGGCGTTTTCAGTTGCACAGCCTTTCCCATACAGCCTTAAGCTGGAAGTTTGTGCATCTAAAAGAAAGATCCAGGAATTAGCATTCTCGCTCCCCTCTTATTTCTCCTCATCACCCAAATCCCCTCCGGAAAGAAATGTGCCCAGAATGATCTTAAACAAGGAGCCTCTGTTCCGGTGATAAACATGAAGAAAGCTCCATGCACCATCAGCTGAGCCTCAGTTTGAGGCATGAGCAGCAACACTGGGGGTCAGAACGCTTTCGTGGCGAGAGATGAACTTAACATATTCAGGAAGCACCCCAGCCGAAGGACCTCACAGGTTTGGCTAAATTTTAAATTGTATCTGTGCTCCATCCCAACTTAGCTACGGAAAATAGAAATGCTGCAGATCCCCTCAAGCTAGAATCCTTCTCCCAAGGTCACTGAGTTCCATGGGAGGCTAATACTGTAGGTACGTATCTCTACGTTTCCCATGGAAAATTGAAGTAGAAGGCTGTCCTGCTATGGGTGGCTTCATCCCACCCCCGTATTCTGTGTGACATCCCAATATCTTCACTCATCTCAACTCATCTAGACAAAAGTCCTCTCCCCTACTCACCCTAGACCCTCCTTAAGAATGCTTCCAAATATAAGGTCTGGCTTGCCTTCAAGTTCTCAGTCCCACAGTTCCATAAAACATTTCACATGTTGATCAGAAAAGAGTTACCACTGTTTCCCTCTAGGTACACAGAGCAAACCCCACAGATGTTTTTCTAATTCTTACCTGAATGATGTGTGCACCCTACACAACAAACATATATCTCTTCTCATGCTGGAAAATTATAAAACTTTTACTAAACTCACAGTGACACTAGGAAAAACTCAAGAGCTTAACTATGTGACATCCAGAAAAGAAATCACCTTCTGTGTTGCCAGTGAGCCATGGTCCCATTACAAGACATCACAGCAAGGCAGGCGCAAACACTTGTTTGTCTTTCCATTACCCCCTCCAAACACACACACATCCTTTCTTCAACTGCCAAGAAATGCCTGCTCCAGACCTTGGAGAGATAACCAAACGCTTGGCCCCATGTTGCCCTTTGCTCTGTGTGGAAAACACCTTCTAAGATGATCCCCTCCCCCAACTCACTCCAGCTCCTGACAGATTGGCCTTCTGTAAGACCCACTCAGGTCATATCAGGATTGGTCTGTGGGGTCAACAAGATACAATGGATAAGAAGGACAAGATAAGACTCTTGAGAGGGGTCTATAGCATTAGGTGATAAGAAAGGATGAGATATAGGTAATGGACACACCAGCCATGACAGGATATGGAGCAAATTGCTTTTCTAGTTTTGATTTTGTCCTGGATTTTGTTGTTGTTTCCGTGCGTGTGTGTGTGTGTGTGTGTGTGTGTGTGTGTGTGTGTGTGTGTGTGTGCATATGGTGGATAAGTGCATACAGCTATAGTTGATAGTGAAAGTGTAAAAGTCAATCTAAATCTCCAGAGCTTCAGGATGGTTACTGTAACTATATAGAAGGTCATTGAACTGTGTAATCTTTGGAACTGGCTAATCTCACTACATGATGTGTCTTATTTGTAAGTTCCTTATAATAAAGTTTTAATATAAAAGATTTAGGAAGACAAATAGGAGCAGAAATGATATGTCACTTCAGAGATTAGATTATTAAAACCTACAGCTCCCCTTGTCAGTCTGTGCCTCTCTGTCTCATCATTAGCTTGGAGGGAAGTCAGCTGATATGTCATGAGGCCACCGCATGAAGAGGAATTGACACCACCAAAATTATAAGTGAACTAGAAAGCAGATCCTTCATCTGAAGGACCACAGCCCTGGCTGACAGCTGCACACAGTCCTGGCAGACACTCTGAGCTGGAATCAGTGGTAGTGCTGGGCTCAGATTCCAGATAGACCTGCAGAAACTGGGATGTAATAAATGTTTTGCTATTTTCAGCTGCTAAGCTTCAGATCCACAGAAGTAAATGGTGGGTGCACTATACCCTTGAAGAACACTCACACCTTAAATAAACAATAATAAGAAGAAAACAAGAGTATATACATAAAAATGTTTGAGGAAATACTCATACCCAAGCCGGTAACCTCGATACACTTTTTCTCGTTCCCTGTGCACTTCAGGGTAGTAACAGAGGAGCATGACTTCTCTTTCTCATTGTAGCAGGCAGTACATTCCACACCATTGGGTTCAGAAGACGAAGATGCTGAATGGAGAGAGAAAAGTTTTCATCTTGGGGAATAGGCAGAAGAATTAGTGAGAACGTGTCTATCCATTACTCATCAAAATGAGGGTTTTTTTTTTTTCATGATTCTACCAAAAAGCGTTGCAGCCAAGATGAGCTGGAAGGAGGCACAGGAGAAAGGCACTGGTGTGTGAGAGCAGGGAAGGATGGCATAGAAATCCGTGCTGTCCTCACCTTTGTCAGCTGCTCTGTTCCCTGCCCTGAAGAAAAAGGCCTAGATAATTAGAGAAGAGATAATCTGTTTTCTAAAAGGATGTTGTTCATAGAGTGAGGAATGAGCCAAGTATGGTCACATACATCTGTACTCCCAGTTACTCCAACTTTGGAGGCTGAGGCAGGAGGATTGCTTGATTCTAGTAATACAACTCAAGCCTGGATGCATGCAAGACATCCATCTCAACAACACAAAAATCCAAGATGAGGAATAAAATAGATGAGGAAATCTCTCAACAGGAGAGGCAGAGCAAAGCATTTAAACCTATAGATTCATTGAACCTACTTAGAGAATAGACCCAGGACCAATTACTGCTACCCAGCTGTCAGTCTGTATATGCAAGTGTGTACACACATACTCAAGAGAGGGGCTTGTATCCAACCCAGACCCTTACAAATGAAAACTTCAAGCAAAAAGGGAAGGCAAGTATCAGGGCTGCAGCCCATCAGCAGAGAGATGGGCTCCTGGAAAGGCAGAGGAGTCCTGAGCAGGTGGCAGGGCACAGACAGGAACTGTACTCACGAGTTATGTCCTCTAGGTTGCATTTGTCAGTTGTGCAGCACTTGTTCTCATAGATAAATCTCCGTTGATCCCCCAGTGTTGCTGAGAATGTCAGTGCACTGCATGTGTCTGGGTAACACCCTTTTTGCTTCAACACAAGGTCTGTAAGTGTAGCTGCAGAAAATTGAACCACCGGGTAAATTTTCCTCCTGAGCTAGCTGTAAAGAACCTGTCCCTTCATCCCCTCTGCCTTGAGCACTGCTCTTCTCCAAGAGTCCCTCTGCAATGGTCTCTTTCAGAGAAGGAACCAACAGAGGGACCATTTGCTACAAAGGTGGTGACCGTGGTAGAGTACTTGCTTAGCATGCATGATAGCCCGAGTTTGATCCCCGACACTGTGAAAGTAAGAATGGAGTCACACCCGAATGGTCCTCACCATGTAGAATCTAGGTCCTACAACAAGCGCATGCTCCATCTCCACCACCTCCCAGAAAGAACCCCAGGCTCCCAGTCTCATCCTGGAAAGGAAGGAAGATAACCTGGAGGATGTTCAAGGTGTGAGGGTTGACTTACATGGTGTATCAAATTTCTGGATTTGATTGAAGCAGCCTTTAGTGGCTGTACAAAAACTTGTGGCCGGAGAACATGACTCGCTTGCACAAGAAGATATTGTACACTGGTAGCTCTCTGCAAGGAGGAAATGTACATCATTTGAAAGGTAATCCCAGAGCCTTGTAGTTGATGTTTCCTAGGAGCCAAGAAGACATGAGGAGCTAGACAGACCACCAGAGTCTCATGTGGTTGGTGACCTCCCCAAGGCTCAACTGCTCACCTCCCCCTTCTTGAGGAGAAAGGAATACCACGTTTCCTCTTACCCACAGAGCCGACAGCGAAGATGGTGAAGACAAAGACTGTGAGGAGGCTCTTCAGGCTGCAGGACCAGGCCATGGTGACTTCTGTGAACACTGCATGAGGTGCAAGAGAGGACAGTGGGGTCAGAGCTATGGGGTTCAGATCTGTAATTCAGCAAGCCACACAGCAGACTGTGTTGTTTGTCCAAGTAGGCATTCATTCAATTATTCATTTGTTCATTCACTCATTCTTTCTGAAAGCCAAAATTTATCAAACACTGGCTTTATGCTAGATGTGGCCATTTGGAAGGATAAAAACTGGAAAAGATACCCACCCTCTATCAAGGCATGGGGGGTGGGGAGGGGGTCTTCCTTCCCGGGATTCTTCTTGAATGGGTTTGGAGAGCACTAGATCTCCTTCCACAACTGAAATGGCTGAGTGAAGAAATGACTCCTCTGGAGAGCAGGTGGAGGCTCTCTAAATGCTAGAAAGTTCTGGGCCATGATGCTCAAGAGCAATCTGCCCCTTAACTAAAGATACACCACATCCCAAGTCACCTTCCCCCTAACAACTGGCCTCCATCAGAGCCCACACTGGAAATGCTCACCAAGAAGTAGTACTGCTCTTCTGAAAGAATTGCCTTGAGATGGAGAGGATGGCCAGTGATCTCACCAGAGGAAGGAAGAAAGGAATACTTTCTCTGCCCTCACTATCTCTGACATTTATAGCCCAGCAGAGCGGTGCCTGGTAATTAAGGCACTGTAATAGTATCTTGACATGAAGCCAAGTGCACTAAACTTCCTGGTCTTCTAGAGAGAGAAAGAGAAACTATGAGAACAACACTTCTTGGGCTTCCAGTTGGTAGGGAAGGGGTGGGGCATGTTATAATGCCTCTGTGCCGAGGTGAGCTACAGAAAAGTTTGGAGCACTCAAAAGTTAAAAAGGATAGGAGACTGGCCCACAGCATGTAGCAATCATCCTCCACCTTTCCTTGGGGCAAGTTCCTAGTATTCCCTCTTTCAATCCTTCATTTTTTTCCCCTAGAGTCAGACCCTGGGATCTATTTATTTCTCTACCCAGAGGGAACTGGGTGTGTTCCTCTACAATTCACTTTCTCTGTCTATTTTTACACCAGCCTCTTGTTAGGGCATAGCTCATCAGCCTTCTTATTTGCAGTGGAGAAAAAGGTTAAGCTAGAGGGATCAGTCTCCTCTAGCCTCCTCTAATTATCCAGCCCTTGGGCATGTTCTCTCAAAACTCAGGTGCCAAGGGCAGAGGGACACTCCCTTGGGAAGCCAGTAGGCAGAGAGTTGAAGAAGGTATGGGTTACAGGGAAGGAATAGGGATGTGTCTATGCCTCAGAGGCTGGAGTGTAGAAGGGAGGAGAAAGGACAGGGACCATTGAAAAGATGAGGAAGGACAACTGGCAGTCACAGAGATGAAGGGATGAGAAAGGACACCCTGATGGTCACAGAAATTAGCAGAGACTTGCCTGGAATTTCTACACAGGCCTGAAATTGTGGCGAATGTGTTTCTATTGTTCAATGTAAGTTGACAAAACATTTCAGGAGACACAGAAACATGAGCTGGGAGAGACTTGTTACACTCTCAAGGCATGTTGAGTGAAGATATCATGGGTTCCTAGCAATGAAGCCCACCTCAGTTCCTGGTTAGAGAGTGAACCATTGTTCAAGATTTTAAGATGGCAGCCAAGATATGCAGTACACCCTCCAAAATTATAACCAAGGCCTTTTCAAAGAGTTAGTTTGAATCTTGCCTTCCTTAGAAGGAATCCAGTATCCATGCCTTGTGGCATTTCATAATGTGTCCCCAACTCCCACACCCCCCCCCCCAGGCTATCACACTTGTCCTTGCCTTCTCTCCCAGGGTTAAAGTCATGGTCAAAGACTTTACTTTATGGTTTCTTATTGATTCAGTTTAATAAACCCCACTTTATGTAACCAGTACTTTACTGTGAGTTCCCAATTAACTGAGGAGAATAGAGATAAGAATGGTTATTTAAAACAGGCTATGAGCCAAGAGACCAGACTTCCAAGTTACATGCTGAGTGACGTGCTGGCCTGGACACTGCTGAGCAGACAGCAGCAACCTGAAGCCACTGTCGCTCATCCATGGAGAATGGAGCATGGCCCCCACCTACCAAACACCACAACTCCGATAATTTTCTGTTCCCAAGCTAAGGTCTCAGAGAGTTTGCTCGCATATGACAGAGCTTCTGGGATAGATACTGTAGGGTAGGTAATAGGGTCAAGGAAAGAACACGCTGACTTGACCCCAAGACCAGGGCCAAGGAAAAGACCCCCACCAATCCCCAAGAGCAAAATCTCACCAATTCCTGAGTTTGCCCCAGGATCAGGCCACAGAATCCCACCAATCCCAGGCCACCCTGGAAAGCTCTGCCACCCCTCACAAGAAACCCTATAGAGAGCCTGCCTTCTGCTCAGTTCCCCCTGCTTCTCGCCCAGCAGAGGCAGCCACCTGTTTGTGTCTTTCCCAATAAATCTCTTGTGTGAGGTTTGTTGTGCAGTGTGTCTTTGTGGTAGTCCTTGGTTCTGGACTGCCAGGATATCTTTCCCCTTGGAGATATAACACTCATAGATACCCTCTTGGGCCCAAAGAAGAGTAGATATGATTCATAGAAAAAAAATAAGAGGCAGGGTCAGCCAGTGGTGGCGCTCACTTTCAGTCCCAGCACTCTGGAGGCAGAGGCAGGTGGATCTTTGTAAATTTGAGGCCAGCTTGGTCCAGAGAGTGAGTTCTAAGACAGGTTCCAAAGCTACACAGAGAAACCCTGTCTTGAAAAAAAGAAAAGGAAAAAACTAGAGGCTTCACTCTGTCTGTCGTGTATCACACACACACACACATTAAGCTTCATTTGGGTCCCACTTGCTCCATTAAGGGCTCTCAGTTTTGTGTCATTCTTGGGCCCAGAAATGACATTCTGCCTGATATCCCAGGTAAAGAGACTTCTCGGGAGAGAGTAGCTCTCCTCCTGTGGTCTGGCTCCTGGGCACAGTCCTGAGAGGGACCCAAGCAGCCTGCTCTCCGGGCGACTGTGCTGTTCTTGGTCGTTCAACTCCGGCTCCCGAGAGCTCTCTTCTCATTGAGGCTCTCATGGTTCATGCTGCCACGTTTGTTAGTATGGAGCCCAGTTGTGCTGGTTAGCTTTAATTACAATACAACACAACCTATATCTCCTGGGAAGAGAGTTGTCATGAAGAATTATCAATGTCAGATTGGCCTGTGGGCATGCCTGTGAGGGGCGCTGTTTGTGAGGGGTGCTGTTTGTGAGGGGCGCTGTCTGTGAGGGGTTCTATCTGTGAAGGATGTTCTGATGTAGGAAAACCCAGCCCAATGTGAGAGGTGCCATTTCCTAGCCATTGGGTTCTGAACAGTATAAACGTTGAGACACCCAGCTGAACAGAAGAAGCAAGCAGGTAAGGGTGAATTTATTCTTTATTTTTCATGGTTGGGGATGTGATGTGACTAGCTTGATTTCCCTCCATGGCTTCCCCGCAGAGATGGACTGTAACCTGAAATTATAAGGAAAACAAAACAAAAGCCCTTTCCTTTCCTATGCTGGTTTTTGTCAGGGTGTATTTGTCGCAGTGAAAGAAATTAAACAACCTATCCATTTCATCCATAATCTGGCTCAGACCCAGAGCTCTTCATTGCTGATGGACTCTTCATTCTCCACAGCCGAGATGAGGTTTTGAAGGATCAGGAACCAGACAGACCCCTGACAGACAGACAGGGAGAGAGAGGGACCACTTCAGATAATGAAGATGGCGAGCTTCTGGCCTTTTCCTCCCCTTCCTATCCAGAGACAACAGCCTAGCGGGCTTTTCTCTGTCAGGGCTCCCTTCCAGGCGACTGGTTCAAGGCTGGTCCTGAGCTGTGGATCTTTGAGACCTTCTTTCTTTGTTTATACTGACCAAAAGTAGGGGAAGGAGACCCATGCCAGGCCACTCAAAACACTTAAGATCCCCAACCTTCCCTATGGCAGTGTGGGTGGGTGGACATAGTCCCCAATGTACTTCTCAAGGGGTCTTTCTCTCCGCATGCCTTGCTGTGTGAACTTCTTCACTTTTAATAAAACTTGACACCTGTTGCTGCCTACTGTAGCCCAGACATTTCCCACCTTGTAATTCTTTAATTGGAGGAGAAAATAAACCCGATGAAGATACCTAGGTGATAAGTCTCATCACCCAGCCGGTTTCAGCAAGAGTCCTGTTGAGCTGGCAACCCAGAATTCCCCTTTAGCACAGGAGTTCCCATCCTTGGACCTGTGCATCTCCTCTAAAGTCCCCTTGGCTGTGCTGGACTTAGAATGCACTGACTCTCTTTCAGCTGCAGCAAGACACTTGACTCCACCTTGCCTCCCTTGCATGGAGTCTTACCATCTCCAGGCACACTGAAGAATCTTTTCCCTTTAACATCACCCACAACTTGGCCTTTCTCCACTCTCCCACCTGTAAAGTAGGGAGAAGACCTGAGCCCACTCTTAGTGAGGATCACAGTGGGTCCTGAGCTCAGGGGACTCACAGTTCTATCTCCAACTGACTCCATGTATGTTCTCTCCTCTGAAAGACCAGGCTGAACTTCCTGTAGAGTATCTGCTTTCTGATGAGACTGATCCTGGAATGCTCTAGGGCTCAGGTGCAGGCTGCCCACCAGGCTAACAGCACCCTACGGGGCACTTGCTTTAGAAGTTCAGCTGTGTAGAGATGACAATCCTTTTATTAGGGAATGTTGTGGTATCGTCTTTTGACCTGGGTGCTGTGGATATCACTCTATATAAATAAAACACTGGTGGCCAGTGACCAGACAGGAAGTATAGGCGGGACAAAGAGAGAGGAGAATTGGGGAAACAGGAAGAAGGAGGAGAGACACTGCAGCCACTGCCAGAATAAGCAGCATGTAAAGATGCCGGTAAGCAACCAGCCACGTGGCAAGGTATAGATTTATAAAAATGGGTTAATTTAAGATAAAAGAACAGTTAGCAAGAAGCCTGCCATGACCATACAGTTTATAAGTGATATAAGCGTCTGAGTAATTATTTTATACGTGGATTG